TCTATAACCACTAGGTATTGAAAGGAGCGCGTACGTTGTTCGATTTCTTCAATTATTTTGGCGTATTGAATACCCATATTAAAATATACTCGTTTTCACATTTGCACGTACCTACCGTATTTGTAATATCAGTGGCACTTGGATAACAAGACTGTATTTTATACAGTATCGCGAGATTGTTCTCTTAAAGCTATAATGTTGATATAAATTATGTATTTGTAATACTTAGTTCGTTTTGTGCAATGCTTATTTATTGGACCGTGGCATGTTCTTTTTATATGTACAGTTCCAACGGGTCTCTTGACTAGATGTTAGTTTTTCGATACATCAAAAGCTGTAACCCAAAAAATTATAACAAGTTTATATAGCGATTCAAGAATTATCTATTTATTATCACCAGAATCACCCCTTCGTCATGTTCAGTTACTCAAGTTTCTTTTACTCTTATTGCTTGATATATCATTTGTTTGAAAGGTATACAGATCTTTTATGTATTAAAATTGGTAACCATAAAATCATACACTAGGCAATAGTAATAAAAAGCCGCTATATGCTGAACTACCGCAAAATCTAGGAGGGATCATTAATTTTAAAAAAGTTATATTAACTTTTTACGTCAAAAGCTATTGCCATCAATTCATACCCTGTATATTACCTGTGATATTACCCAATATATGCACGGGATCATACAATAACTAACATAAGCAGGGGTAATTTAGGTAACCTTGAAAGTGCTCTCTCCTATACTTCAATTGAGACTACTTTTAGGACACCCTGTATTATGTACTCAAATTCTTGAAAAGTTATATTACAACCACACAATCGTTTGTAACAGTCAACATTGAAATATTCGGAATATATATTCCAGTCACATTGGTTTATTAATCATATTTTATTTTAAAAAAGGTATTGTTACAGATTTTGATAACATCGAAAAGAATAAGTTCGAATGTTTACGTACACAGCTGATGTTTGACATTGCATTATTACAACTACATGATAAATTCGCGATTTTGAGAGATGTTGCCAGTAAACATATCATTCGGCTTTTCTCATATATTTTTTTCTACACTTTACAGATCTATGACTAAACTTGCTACCACTTGCTCGTTAAACGGTTCTAAAGGTACACTCTGTTACTTTAGGTGGGAAGATGTTCGTTTTTAACTACGTATATTTTAATTATACGGATTATGTATATTATTTTATTAGACACATCGTGTAGATATTAATTTAGTGCAATCATTTTACGGCGCATTTTAATTTACTTTTATACGTCTGTTTTATTTTTTTACATTAATGAAAAGAGTTTAGCTATTTACACGCATTAAACGTAATATATCCTGAATCGCGAAGTGCGTATAATAAAGCGGAAAATATTAAGTATTAAATTAAGTGGTTTTTTTTAATATTATTTTAATAATATTTGATTGTTTTTAAACCAACATATTATTATGCAGGAACTGTGTGGAAATTGTGTATTTATAGTTACCAATAAATTCGACTGTAAATAGTGTATAAAGCGTTCAGTGTTTGTTTTTGTTCATAAATAGTATTAAAAGTATTAATAAAATTGTATTGGGAACCGGGATTTAACGCAATAAAATGTGTATCCTGGAGAACACAGTTAGGCCATTATTTAGTGTTGATCCGGATAATAATATGTACAGGGTGTAACAAACGACTGCTGTAATTAGCTAATAATACCATTGTACACTTCATGTATATTTTAATGAAGTTTTAGCATATTAAGCCATATTTTTTTAGAATCATATTATTTTTATATGAAGTGATTTAAGTCAACATTACATTACTATAATTATATTATGTTTGACCATCATTAACATTCGTTTGTTGCCCCATATACTTTATAGAAGAAATATAATATTCTTATACAGGGTGTTGATTTCAATACCCGCCATATTTAGGGAGTTGATTAAGTAGCTTATTCTGATCACGAATCAGCAAAAAAACTGACTTAAATTTTTTTTTTAATTATATTTTAAATATCTGCGATTTCCATAATCGACCACTACAGTGCAGAATAGTCCCCCAACGCAAACGGCGCGCGGCGCTCACCCGGTGACCCGGGCAAGCGCTGCGCCCCCCGTCCCGCGCCCCACTACCCGCGCTCGCCCATGAGTCAGTCAACTATCAGCCACAATCAGCTGTGAGTTCAACGACGACTACTTGACGGAGCTTAATCCAAATCTACCCTAAAAATGTAATGAGTAAATTAGTTACTTACACCTTATCACGTTACGAGTTTATTTTTTGTTCTAAAAACTAATTAATTAAGTAGGTCTTTAATAAAAAAACCTTAAAATAATAACGTAATTTAATTTCTATCGGCGTTTAATTTAAATTCCCTGAACGACTGTTAGGCTGTTAGTTAGGTTCAGGTTAAACTTCCATTCTTCATAACTTACATAAAATAATTCATCATCATGTTCGTGATTATTTTAAATGAACTTAATTTCATTACTTACACGAAATAACTATCAAAATGTATTGATATTCTTATCGTTTTAATAATAACGATTGAGCTACTACAAATCATTTGCATTTGAGTATTTTGGAAGCTTGCTATAAGAGCATTAATTATGATAGGACGGATCTTTAGTTAACAAAGATCTTCGGTCATCGAATGTGCAAATTTGCGATTTTTGATTGTTTTCTCGTGCGGTTTTGAGTAGTTAGTGTGTGAACGTGTGATAGTGAGTGTGGTAATAGTGAGTGAGTGTTAGGAATATGCCTAACCATACGTACAGTGCTCGTGAGTAGATACGTAAACATGGTTTACTGTTACGGGAGGGCACGTGGAAACGCATCTGAAGTCGCATCGGTAAGTACCTAACTCTAAACTTAAAGGACATTCCTTTTTAATGTAGGAAGTGAATAATCTGGTAATTTTGTGTAGAAAATACTCCCGCCGTCGCGGTAGGTAGTGGCGGAAAGCGCTCCAATACACTCACACACACATAGGAACCAGCAAACTAATTTAACACGAACTTTAACTTTAGTTAGTCAAAGAAAAATACCTATTTACACTACCAACTTTACGTATCCTTCAGTAGACTATCCAACATGATAAGCGAGCGATCCGCGTAGCTCGATGGGTGCCCGTGCCACAGTAAACGTATATTGCATTATTGCGAGCCATAGTACAGTTGATGTTGCACGGAAAATATTCGCTAAAAATTCCACTTTCGTTTGTAATTTATTTTTTGGTGGATAATGCGTTTATGTAAGTCATAATATATCACCTAAATAAATATGGCGAGTATTGAAATCAACACCCTGTATATTTTTCAATCGATAAATCTTAAATCTACAAATAATCAAACCCAATACCGAACAATTTACAACAAACAATAACTAATGCTCACATTAAATATTCGACTTTGTTTTATATTTTGGTGTCTTGTGTTAAACTTTGAATTTTACTAGATATATAAAAGCGTAATTTAAACAAATGATATTGGTGCAAACACCTTTCTGTATAAATATTAATACTAATATATTTAATTAACACAACTGAGATAACTATAATTACATTAAACTACCGTTTCCATAAAATATAAGAAAATATAGGAGTAACTTTATATTACTAAAATTATATTAAGAAAAGTAACATTTTAACTACAGAAAGAACAATTTTATACGATGAAAATGTTATGTATACCGGCCGAATTTTAGAATGATATGAAATTGCTAAGATTTATTGATTGTAATCAATTAGGTACGTGAAAAACGCGGAATAACATTTTTTTCCTGTTTCAGTTCTCACAGGCATAATAATTTTACTACTATAACAATTTTAGCTATTGTGTATTTTTGTCAGTGATCGTACCATCGTACTATGTGTTCAATGTATCGAAATCCAGCAAGAATATTGATAAAGTAGTTTTGAAATACACATGGCTTACTAGTAGTATAATATTCATAATATTAATAAGAGAGACGAATATACTCACATTATACATAATATTTAAGACTAAATACCAAACGCATGCATACATCTGGCTAACTAGTAAATACGTCGGTCAAACGTACGCTCTACTACTGAGCACGAATCTTCAATGCTTTTGGTTTCAGTGAAGATTTATATCGAAAAATTCTAGCTTGTATATGTATACCGAATGTAGAAACACACTTCACGTTCCCGAACTCGTTTTTATCACAGAACTTCAGCTTGAATTTGTAACAGTCCTATGTTTTTACACCCTGTATTATTTTTAAAAGTGTATAACGATTATATTGTTAATTTATATCATACTGTTATTCAGTAGTAGAGCGGGTTTGTGTATCGCGAAATTTCACTCGTAGGAATGAACGAATAATATAGAGTGAATTTCATTTGCTAAGTGTAAATATAGCAAGTTAGCGGTCTATGCTATTTTCCATATAGACGCTTCAATAACGATATATAAATATTTCAAAACGTCAAGTCAAGAAACACATTACAGTCAGTTGCTGTGTTTCAGATATTCTTCAATAATACTTATTCATCGATGTCAAATCATCACATTTTTTTGAGATATTGTTGTCCGAAGTACTCTTTTAGTACTTCGTAGTTAAGTAGTTTATTATATTTATCATTTATCTTTAATGAGTCTGCTACTATTTTTTATACAGTGCATATTATTATAATTTTGGTATATCATACTTGGCATGTGTATATTCAATATTATTTTCAAGCAAATATTAAAGCTTGCGTATTACTTTGTTTTTTAATATAGCAGACACATTAAAATAAACTGATGCATTTAAATAACATTAATATCGTGAAATATTATAAATATATTATATTTTTGATATTTTTCACGTTCATTTAGATATTGTTATAGTTATTAACGTTATTTGGCGCGAATTGTTATAAAGGACGATGCCTCGATTAAGTCTGGAAGCCACTTTAATACTGAGATATTTAGAGAACAATTAAATACTAATGAATGAGCAATTTAATGAAAAATGACATTTTACGAATTGGTTCTGTTTTTCTTCAAAAAGTAATAGACCAATATAGTACAAGTATTTGAAAAATAGCAAAATTATAATTTTGGCAGGCAGAATTTGGAATGTATCGCCACAGTGATTTTTTCTGATCCGTTAAAAAATAACTATTAAAAAGGTGAGTACAGAATTGGCATCGTCCTTTATGCGATATTGCCTGAGTAGTGTTGTAACTCGAAATTCTTAACAATTTTCTAAAGGTAGACAGCCTTATGCTGGTTTTAAGTAGGTAGTTTTTAGGCACACTCACAGTCAAGAAAAAGGAACCGTTTGTAGTAATAGAATTATAGAAATATCAAATGTAAAGTTACTCTATGACACTATTAACACTCATAAGTACAGTAAGTTTTTAATCGAGAGATCACACACACGTTAGATATAATTTTTATAGACAATCATTAGAAATAGATCAAAATACTACAGCGAGTGTCATTTAAAATTAGCTGCTACAGCTGCTTTCTTCTTCTGTATATTTTGAAGTCATAAAGTCAAGAAAAGTAAAGAACAAAATAAAATATTCTAGTAGTGTGTCAAACACATGTTAAAAATTTCAAGTTACATCACTACGCTACGAATACCGTTACAGCGACCGCTACATACGGCTATAGCGGGCCTACTCTGTGACGCGATGTCTATTGCTGTCGCCAGCGTCTAGGAATGAGAGAGAGAGAGAGAGACGAATACAGCTGGTTGCAAGCGTTACGGAGTAGTCCTACTGCTACGGTCACCGCTACGGTCGCCGCTACGGCCGTACTACGGCGAGGCACTTACGTGACGCCGAGCGTCTCGCAGACGGTGTAGGCGGCGCGATCTTGAGGCGTGGACCGCGCACGCAGCCCCGGATGCAATTGATGCCAGGTCTTTGGCACAAATGTGTACTTTCCTTCCTCGTTCATTTCCTAACGAAAAAATGGTTGCGTTTAGTTTCGTAATAGTATGGTTTGCGTTTATTTCATTATTTTTATGTGAGACTTCATAAATGCACATATCAGAGTACAAATATGTACAATACATTCACTGACATCCACGGGAAGAATGCGTGTAATTCTATTCTACTCTGCCGAAACCACAGGACTTCAGCTATAAGACGTCCAGCAGCGTGGATTAGCGGGGTATTGCTCACATACAAACCGCGCTCGGTGCGTTTCTATGAAGATGACCTACTCATTTGTATTTACTCTGATATTAGGTAACTTACCCGTACAAACGTCGGGTGCAGCGGTAAAGGCTCATCAGATATCATCACACGCAGGATAGTGTCTCCGTAGACCTCCTGGTTCTCCTTTTTGGACCTTAATGCAAAGTGATATGGTTCATATTACGTAACTTACCCGTACAAACGTCGGGTGCAGCGGTAAAGGCTCATCCGATATCAGTACTCGCGGGATGGTGTCCCCATAAGTCTCCTGGTTCTCGTAGATGGCCGAAACCTCTATAGAGGTTAAAGTGCTGCGCAAACGCACGAAGCCTAGCAAGTCGTACTGCCACATCCAGTAGCCTGTAAGACAAATTAAAAATAAATACTATTAGAAAGGAAGAAAAAACTTTATTTGACAACAAAAAAAACTTTAAAAAACAAGCTTTTATTATGGCCACCTTCCGGCTCCATCATCAGATCAGACCCTGGACATTATACAAAATCAAAGTACTTGTCAAAACAAATCAAACGAGCCCGAACTTGACAGGGTTTCATCATTTAGTAATAGTTTTCTTATGGCCATCCTATCATCAGTTCGGCTCCATAACATCATTGTCAATTCATCTTGCAAGATTTGACCCGGTGAAGAAAAGGCAGCTTACATGATTTTTTTATTTACCTATGTTACCCCAAGAGAAATCTTTCGTCGTTACGTTTGATACCATCGTGGATACCATTCGTCAACTATCTGACCATATAACCTCCTCTCTCACACTCTTCTATCCATAGACAACTAAACTTACCGTGTATCACCAATCGCCTTATATTTGTGCACTGCCACGTCAGTATGATGAAGGGATTCACGTTGGCCACGGGGAACTAAAAACGAAAAAAAAAACTCATTTTTTAAATTATTATTAACCCTGTTCTTATTACAACCCGATCAAGCTAACTGCGCACCTCTTTCTCTTCTTTGGAAACATGAACGTGATATAATGCTTAATTCAATACAACATACATCTGTTTCCGCAATTTATTACACCGATCTTGTCGCGACAAGGAAAAATTTCCGTGCTTTTAAGCGATTTTGTGAAAAATATTATTGGCAGGTAGTTGCTAATTGCTCATAAGATAGGCCCCCTTAATTTAATTTATTGTCCGTGGTGCATAATCTTTTTCTTAAAGGTTTTTAAACCTTTGTTTGTCACCTGTCATCCGCTTTGCAATGGAGGGAAGTCGAACCTTAATTTCGAACTCCTCCTATGTTCTTCTGATTAATTTCGTTGCGGGTCCAATGACAGTTTAACTTTCCCCCGGGACAAACTTGACCTTCATTGGTTGGGTTTTTGTGGCGGTCAAGCTGTAGATCCTGGCTACACAGGAGTTGCAGTGGTGGGAACGAGAGGTGGGAATAGTCCCGTAACTGCGCACCTCGCTGGAATGCGACTCCCTCGCACGCCTCCCCGCGTTCGCCCCGTCTGTACCAGACTCGATGTGATGTCACGGCTGCCTGGTGCGCAGTTAACTCGACAGGTTTTTACGTTAATTGATTTTTAACTATTATTGTAGATTGAGGCTGAGTTTCACCACCTTATTCATCCGTAACAATAACAAATAAACGATGCTTTTTTGTATGGAGTTTGACAGATTTTTGACGTACATGTCAAAGTTAAAGTAAGGTGTAGTGCAACTTAGCCTAAGGTCCAGTTTTTTGATTCGTAGTTAAAATAACCAATAGCCAAATTTAACAGATAACATGTCAAATGACAAGTGGTTAAATATCAGAAAAAAAAATGATTTTCGTACAATGGTTAGATTTGCACGCTAGACTATACCTAGTAGCACTCAACCCCAAGGTTTATAATTTCATATACCGTGTAATGGCTATGCTTTCGTGACATTGGCAAACGTGGAAACACAATAGCCATAGAGGACAAGAAGAAGAAGAATGGTTAGCTTGACTTTTAGCACATGTTATAACTATAAGTTTACATTTTGTTAATATTTAACCATTAGAATTGTTGGAAAGTTAGAAACTTTTTGGTTAAACGCAAGCATATTTGAATATTTGAATTTGGCACTCCACTGTCAATGTAAGGCTTCCAGACTTCTGGATCAATCACTCGATCTCATGTAGTCTCTGTGTGCTGTATGTTCTAAAATAAATCCGTGGTAATCTTCGTGGTCTTTTCCTTCTTACGCTCCGAACTCCAACATTAGTAGCATTTAACAATTGGTTATTTTAATTATGAACCAAAAAAACTGGGCCTAGCGTATTATCGATGATACTGAATAAACATATTTTTTCTTTCTTACCTGCACGGGCCCCAGGCTACGCTGGTAGCGGTGGTAGACGTCGCTGGAGTTGTACGGGCAGTCGGCCCACACCAGCTCCTCCAGCGTGTCCTTGTGAACCGCTACCAAGTGGTCGAGTAGGGCTGGGTACATCTGGAAGTAATTAATTGTTTTTAAGTGAAATCATTACTTTCTTTGCGAGATCGAATCAGAGGTGGAATCGTGTAAAGCAATCGTAATCTTTTGACAGTTCATAACGTACGATAAAGTCAGATAAACAAAGCGTTTGACAGAATAATCGTACGTTATGAACTGTCAAATGATTACGATTGTTTTACACAATTCCACCTCAGAAATGGGGAAATTCGTTTAAACTAAAGTCGCTGACATAGCCCGACGGATTAGCAAGCTGAAGTGGCAATGGGCAGGGCACATAGTACGCAAAACTGACGGCCGATGGGGCAGCAAGGTTCTGGAATGGAGGCCGCGTACCAGAAAACGCAGCGTAAAGGTAGCAGGGAAGCGCTGAACCACAGTAGATAAATCAAACAGTACGGAAGCTTCATACAAACGCTCGAAATCACACTCATTTGTGCACGCAGACGCACGCTTTACACGAGCTCTAAGCGAACCTCACAGTCCATCCGTCGCGGGTGTCGCGCGCGTTGTGTTTTTAATTTAATAATAATTTTATTGCATGCGCTGTCCGCTGTAGTTTTAAAAACATACCACGAGTGTATTGCGTTTTTAAACTTTATAATAAATAAAGGTGAAAATAGTTTAATATTACTTTTTAAATAAAATGCTTAATTGATTACGTAATTAAGCTTCTTAACAATTTATCTGCTCCATTTTTATAAGTAATTTGATTTGATTTTGATTTGCTAGTTTATATGTAACTTCTTATACCTAACTAACAAAATATAAAGACATCGTATTATGTTGAATTGTTGAACGTTTTTTTTATTACCTTACACATTTTTTTTGTAAACTAAGTACTGGTAATGGTGAAAAATCTAAAACTTTAAAAAACGGTATCGTTATAGCCAATGAGCTGATATCATTGTCACTCTAAAAACGTCAGATATAAAGGGACGCGCGCGGACGACTCCGCGCGACAACCCTAACACTCAATTGAAGTGTAGGTATTTAATCTTGACGAAAGGGCCTAGTTTCCGTACTGCTTTAGCTCATATATATACTGTGGCTGAACGGACGCAGGCCGCTACCAATCGATCAACATGGAAAGCATTGGGGGAGGCCTATGTTCAGCAGTGGATGTCCTATGGCTAAAATGATAATGACGATGAAGATGAAGTGAAATCATAAACTCTACAGGTAAGTCAAAAGCTCGCAGAGCTGATGGCCGCTGGGGCAGAATAGTTCTCGAGTGCCGACCACGAGCCGGAAGACGTAGTATGGGCAGGCCTCCCACTAGGTGGACCGACGATCTGGTCCTTCACCTTCACGGAAGGTACCTGAATGTGGGCGGCGCAGGACCGATCTTTGTGGAAATCTCTTTGCCTTTGTCCAGCAGTGGACGTCATTCAGTTGAAACGAACGAACAATTGTATTGCCAGTCAATTTAGGACAAGAGACTATCATTTTACTACATATCTAGACTATAACGGAGTCAGTGCCTGAACTATGGGAGTGGCACGGGAAGGTGTTTTTTGAGAGGACTTGAATGAGGGTTTTCGCGTATGAAAGATCCGCTATATGGCGAGACGTGGATGTGGGGTCTGACTGCTGCGTGATTGGTCATTGTCATGTCAAAAATAACCAATCATGCAGCATTTGGACCTCGCGTCTACGTATTGCCATCTGGCGGATTTTTCATACGCGAAAACCCTCATTGAGATGTGCTTGTCACACCATATGTCACCCCTCCCCCCGCTACAGACAGTGTCTCAGTTATCGAATCGAATGTAAATAGGCCATCGAATTAACAAATGGCAAGTTTTATTACACATCATATTAACATTCTCAGTATGGTTTTAAAGAATACTTACCGCCTTGCAGAACAAAACCTTCAATGACACAAGCGTCATGCCCTCCACAAGAACATTCTCGATAACCTCATCAAACTTTGTATGGGGCAGAGAAACCTGGAACAAAATAACATTCATTAACATAAACTCAAAATTATGTCTGTAAATACAAGCAACGCACACGATACAAGTCAAAGTGATGTCTGACATCCAATCCAAAATTAACAAAAAATGTCTGACACCAAACAGCATAGCGGTCTCACAATTATTCGTCTCGCTGAAGCTTGCCTATGTTTGCTATTGATGTCTGACATTCATTAGAGCAGTGTTTTTCAACCTGTGGGTCGCGACCCCCTGGGGGGTCGCCAAGCTTCTATAGGGGGGTCGCGAGAGGTCGTAAAAACTACCTCAGTAAAAAAACAGAAAAGTTATAATGATTTTTCCGAAAATTATGCAAATGCATAAGTAAATGTTGTACTTATGGATTGAAATAATCGGTTCTTACAACATCATTGTAACATTATAAAATGCATGAAGAAAAAAGCGAGCGGTCGGGGGGTCGCCAAATATTTTTTCATACTAGGGGGGTCGTGTCATGAAAAAGGTTGAAAAACACTGCATTAGAGTAAGCACTTACAATGTTAACGTGCACTCGCAAACGCGCGCGGCGTGCTTCGTGCACGCGCGGCCAGTCCAATCGCCCATAAGGCAGCTGCCGCCGATATCCCACGTTCAGTGTCAGCGAAGAGAACGTGGATAAAGCACATAGTGTCTCTAAGGCTTCTGTGTTTATGTGCTCGTAGTCTACTATCACGCTCTGTGGAAGATAAATATAAATAAATTAGAAACTTTATAGTCATTATGGAATTAAAATTGGCATATGGGGAGTAAGCTAAATAGGTAAGTACATCTTCCATGAAATAAATACAGTTTTTGAAATCTCGTGAAGTCACTTGCCACGTTGAAACATGCAGGATCAACTTACTGTAAGGCCTGTAAGTGTGTACTAAGAGATATACGTAAGCGTTCTCACAGTCCCACATGTTATTGCTCGTTCGCAACCAGTGTTTGACACTACTACTTGGTGGAATTTTGTAATGCCACCTGGAGGGAAAGTACTCATAATACTGTAGATAGAAAATTTTACTGAAAGAAAACATTCCTTTATTTTTAACTAACAGAAAGAGGACTGCATTCAAAGATTTTCGAAAAAATCGTGTCGGAGGGCGCCGCCTCGTGGCTGAAGGACAACGGCCGGGAGTAGTACTCCAGGTGCTCGTGCTAGGAGAGAGAGAGAGAGAGAGACTCTATCCACTCACCTGCAGCGCCGAGAACACCATCAAGCCGGTGTTGCCTCGTGGCTGAAGGACAGCGGCCGGGAGTAGTACTCCAGGTGCTCGTGCTAGGAGAGAGAGAGAGACTCTATCCACTCACCTGCAGCGCCGAGAACACCATCAAGCCGGTGTTGCCTCGTGGCTGAAGGACAGCGGCCGGGAGTAGTGCTCCAGGTGCTCGTGCTAGGAGAGAGAGAGAGAGGGGAAACAAACAGAGGTAAAATAGAAAGAGAAGGGGGAAAGGGAGCGTATGAGGGAGAGGGAGCGAAAGGGGGAGAGGGAGCGAATGGGGGAGAGGGAGCGAAAAGGGGAGAGGGAGCGAAAGGGGAAGAGGGAGCGAAAGGGGTTTTTTTTCGATGTACATACCCGTGTGGGGTATCAATGGAAAGGTCTTTTAAAATGATATAAAGTTTTCTAAAAAACATTTTTCTTAAAGTGAACGGTTTTTGAGATATCAGCTCTCAAAGTCGTAAAAAGTATGTCCCCCCCCCTCTATTTTTATAACTACGTGGTATAAAATTCTCAAAAAAATAGAGGTGATGCATGCTAATTAACTCTTTCAACGATTTTTGGTTTGATCAAAGTATCTCTTATAGTTTTTGAGATAGGTTGATTTAACTGTTGCTGCTACGGAACCCTTTGTGCGCGAGCCCGACTCGCACTTGGCCGGTTTATTTTTAAAAACCGAACTAAACCGGTTTTTTCGGGTTTTTCGGGTTTTTTGGGGCGACTGTTTGTAAGTAAATAAAAATGCTGCAAATTATAATAAAAATCATTTTATTTCTTTTATATTCTAGTTTGAAAAGATTTTGTTTTATTTCCTCAAATTCGTGTGTGGGCGACTATTAATGTGTAATAATGGTGGATTATTAACCATTGAGTGTTCATGAACGTCCATGGGTGTGGACAAGTGAAGCAAAACAGTGCATCGTGATTCTTCTGGTTCTCTCAAGTTGTCCATAGGAGGTCTCAGTAAAGCACCACAACTTTACTGAGACTCAAAGGGTGGGAAAGGGTATCATCTATCATCCTTAGCACCATGTTAAAGATTAAACTTTTAACTTTAAATTGATACCAAATTCATTTAAATCACACCGGTATTTANTTGAGTTATTAAATTATCTAAAATCGTAGAAGAAAAACCGAAATAACCGAAAAACCCGGTTTTATAACTGACAAAAACCGAGTTCCAAATTGTGTCGGTTATCCGGTTTTTCGGTTATCCGGTTAACCGGTTTGCATGCCCTAATCCACAACTCACCTGCAGCGCCGAGAACACCATCAAGCCGGTGTTGCAGCGCGACAGCACCGTGTCTGAGGGCGCCGCCTCGTGGCTGAAGGACAGCGGCCGGGAGTAGTACTCCAGGTGCTTGTGCTAGGAGAGAGAGAGAGACTAAGATTTTAAGCAATGAGGGTTTTCGCGTATGACAAATCCCCCAGATGGCAATACGTAGACGCGAGGTCCAATGCTGCATCATCATCATCATTTCAGCCACAGGACGTCCACTGCTGAACATAGGCCTCCCCCAATGACTTCCACATCGCACCAATGCTGCATGATTGGTTATTTTTAACATGACATTGACAGATATGTCAAAATCCACCAATCACGCAGCAGTCAGACCCCACAGCCACGTCCCGCCATCTAACGGATCTTTCATACGCGAAAACCCTCATTGATGTTAAAAATATTAAAGCTAGGTTTCAACAGAATAGAATAGGACCACAGTCCACAACTACGCTTACTGTGGAGTGTGGATGTCGTAAGCGACTAAGGGAGTTTTCAAACGTGGCGAGTGTAGGCCATTCCTCCATTTGTATTTGGTAAATTGAAGTGGGACGTTCTAATCCAGTTCACAATAAATGACCCTCTCTAATTTACCATAGGAAAATGGTGAGTTTAACTCCCTACTCCACACTGGTGGTTGTTTATAATTTTAATCTATCCTTTAATAGGGGTGGTCCTATCCTATTCTGCCAGATCACATAGCCAGAATGATAAACGATCCTTTAAATAAAATTACTGTTTTTAATAAAACTTACTGTGATCTTTTCGCTGTCGACCTTCGCAATGCCCATTTCGCAGCCGAGCATCCCGAACCTCTCCAGGCAATGCAAGTGTTTGTAGATCAAACTCTCTGTCATTATGCTGAAAATAAACAGTTTTCTTAGTAAAAGAACTTCATTATTACATTCATAAGTAATACAGTTTGCTAAAGAAGCTGCTTTATCTTAGCTGTTACAATCGCCTTAAGATAAGCCTAGTAGAAAAACATTCTTAATAAATTACGAAATCTCTTCGATTCGTTTTTTGTATTAACTACTTCACTTTATGAAGAGATTGCAAAATTCCGGAATCTTTGAAGAATATAGATTTGTGGGGAGGGCAGATGTCTGATAACTGAGTGACATAATTTGCGATGCATTTGGGATGAGAGGATGTTAGTGTGTTTTTAATAAAAAATAGTTTGATTTGTCTTTCACGAACTATGTTTACAATATTACAATGTATGTTTGTATGAGTGAAAGGAGACAGACTTAGCCGGAGTTCTATGGGTTGAACACTTGAAACTACTTACCGCTTTATCTTAATAACTGGCATTAAATGTGTCTGTTGTATATAACTTGGTCCTATGAATATTATTTCGCGAAGTTTCGCTGAGTCAAAGAATCTGTAAAGAAAAGAAAAATTAAATAAATAATTGTAACACAAGTCAAATAAACTAGAGTGGAAGACATTATTTCTCTCCAGGGAGGAAGAGTTATTGTTGAATGGATATCATTGGCAATCAAAATTATTATCAGGTCGTTTGTTCGTTCGTTTCAGCCAAATGACGTCCACTGCTGGACAAAGGCCTCCTCCAAGGTTTTCCACAATGCACGGTCCTGCGCTGCCCGCATCCAGGCTCTTCCCGCGACCTTTACCAGATCGTCGGTCCACCTAGTATCAGGTCATTTAGTCTCCAGTGCTGGAGCACGACCCTCTCTAATTTACCAGAGGCATATGGAAGATTTGGCCATCACTTATTTCAGAAAAATGCAATGTCTTAACATTGTAAGTTTTGACTCAAATTAGTTGTGTAATTGTGCTTTAATTTACTAAAAATATTTCGTACTTGTCGGCGCCGGACACAGATGCTGCAAATTATTATTGATGATTAATAGTACCAATCTTAATATTATGTTATCTGTATAAATCTGTAGAGTCGAAGGTTTGTGATTCCTAAACGTAACACCCGACTGATGCGCAGAAAAAGATAACTGTCAATCAGTTGTGTCATGTCAAGTGTGAGCAGGCGGCTGCGAGGTTATAGATGACCCACGCTGAACTGTCCCGCCAAACTCAATGACAGGGGGGCGCTACCATCGTTCAACTATATGGTTTCCAACATGGCAAAAATCTGAACCAGCGATCCGGTATTGACGGTGGCGCCCCACTGTCAATGTCATCGACAGGACAGTCCAGTATTTTGGAACTATATCTTTGAAAGCGTGTTGAGTTTGGTGGAACGTTAAATTGAAGGAAAAGTGATTGTCAACCATCCAAGATATTATCTCCTTGCCCGTTAACCCACGCCTATGGAGATTCCACCCCTAGAGTTCCTTCTGATAGAGACCCAGTGCCTTTATACTTATAAGTGTTATATTTTTAAATAAATTACCATCATATTATCACGTAAAAACCACGTACTTTCTCTGCGCATCATATTATGCAATTGGTATGAAATTACAATTACCATACTAAATTATCTTGAAATGAAAGTTGGCTTCAAATTGTTGTATGCAAAGGAATTTTTTTAGTAATCATGTAAACGAGTTATTACAAACCACTCACTCGACAGATTTTGCTATGAATAAGTAAAAAATACTCAGTATATCTACGACATCAGCGAATAGTGAACAATATTAAAATTTGATTGTGCAATTACATAGATACAGTTGCTAGCACATCATTTTTATTGATAAATAAACATATTTGATCATTTGTTTTATTTCTTTACGTATTTATGCCCACCTAGGATTGAAAATCTTAGTAACTACTCACCTATTTAGCTAGACGAGACGGTCTTAATGCATTATTTATTGTGTAGGTATACACAGAATAGCGGTGACAAATAGCAATTGATTTCAATAAAACGCGTTCTCCGAAGCCGAGACGGTTGTTTCAGTCAATCATCATAAGCAAACCGTTTATATTATTAAGGAATACAGTAAACATTATTATTTTAACTTAAGTCATTTGTCATAAGGTCGAAATGAAGAACAATTTAATCTTCAATCGTCTGGTGACGCTCTTTTCAAGATGGTTCCTACAGAATACCAGCGTCATATTCTGTAGAACATGATACACTCTGAGTAGGGCCATTTTGGTATTGAAACTATTATGTTTGAACTATTTTTCTTTCCCTCTTTCTTGAAAAAGGTTCAGTCAGTCGCCAGTATAGGACTTAGTGCCTGAGGCACAGAGCGGCACCGGAGTGTGTTTTTGGGAAGTCAAACATCAGCGAGACTTCAGATCTCCTCCATGTGTATGCTCTGTAACGTCATAATGTGTCAGTGCCGCTGCCATATCTCAGCCATTGACTGAGTTGAGCGCTAGTAGACCTATAGTTACAAATACTGCAAGCACCTCTAACGTCACGTTTAACGTCAGTCAGCGCCCATTCAAAAGTTCTATTATTAGCCAACTGCGCACCTTATCTCGATTCCAGATAAAACACAGCCTTACGTTGTCAAACTACGTAATAAACCACCCACGTAGTTGATAAAATAGTGTATCAGAATGAAAATGAAAACAATGTCATAATCACATAATACAGCGTGGCCAATGAATCACGTAGGTAATGTGTTTTGCAATCGATACAATCGGCATCAATGCCCAATTAAATTAAGACCCCCATTGGGTTCAATCTTTAGGGGTCCCAGAAAACAAATTGTAGGTACATTCAAAGCGACTACCGACTCATGAACCAAGGAACGCTGGTTCGATCCCCGCGTTCGATTATTTTCAGTCATCACTTCAAGTTACAGAAAGGTAAAGAAAGATAAACCCACGGGCAGAAGCTTTCTAAACTAGTATTAAAAAACTGAAGAGTTTGTTTGTTTGCTTGGACGCGCTGTTCTCAGGAACTACTTGTCCTTTTTGTGTTCGACAGCCCATTTATCGAGGAAGGCTTTAGGCTATAACATCACCCTACAGCCAATAGAGGTGGAGAAGTAAAGAAAAATGTTGCAAAAAACGGGAAATATTATTCCAACTATTTTCACGCCTACGAAGTCGCAGGCAGAAGCTATTGGATCTTAAATATCTAATAGATGTTTCAAATACCCGCAAGCCCGCTTCTTTTGACGCGACAAGCGCAAGCTGCGTAAATCGAGGCTGAAACATTATAATTGGCGCTATAAATCACTGTATTTATTTTATAACAGTAGAAATAAATCAATTCTCGAGGAAATTACTAAGTATTGACTTCAAATCGCGTAGGCGCACTTTCACTTTCGCATTGAAAGTGTATATGGTAGGGTTGGAAGTGTAGTTGACTTCCTGCCTCCACCAAGGTCTTAAAACAGATTTGTAGTGCATATTAAAGTCGGGAGCCTTATAAATAATCAATAAAAAACTTGTCTTAATTTTAAATTAATAACAAAATAAATCTGAGAAGAAAGACAGATTTGTCTAGAATTCTAAATCAATCATATAAGCACGCACATTAATAGATATCAGAATCACAGAAAGCATTTTAGATGAAAGGTAATTTTCTATACGCGATAATCTTAAATCTATCACGTATAATTTAGGCACGTAAAAAGACAATAAACGTGCTTAGATTGCAAACTTTTTTATCGGAAAAAGATTTCAATTGCCTGAATTTTATGCCACGCAATATCAAAGGCAAGATAATTTACGGTCTCAACAGAAGTACGTGGATCGTAGTCCCCCATAAAGTTTAAGAAACAATGATCTACTACATTGTTAGACGAGTTACATCACAATGACGCTATGGCAACGGGTATTGATTCAACGCGGTTCTAATCCATTATTTATCAACATTATTTCAATGTCAGAGACTGCATTATGTTCGCTAGAACGATGCTTTGAAAATGTAACGATTTATACTGACTGTTTCTGTTGTTGAGGTTTATAAACTCAACTCAGCTTACCTGTTTCAGGGCTTTCTAATTAATAAAAGTCTTAATAACACGTTTTATGAAAACTAAGAAACTAGGTATAGTTTTTATTTGTAGTATTGAGTTTTTGAAACTGGTTAGTTCAAGTTAGATTCAATGAACAGACAACTCATAGAAATTAATTCGGAAAGGATTTTTAAAATTCCCCTCCTAAGGGAGGAAATCATCCCCCAAAAGTAAGTTGCAAATATAAGTATTACTTACTGTGGCAGCACGTAGCTCATGAACTCATCCGTATCTTCTGCGCTGCAGTCCAAGTACATGTGTAGTATGCGTGTGTGTTTCCTGAACACTCGTGCTAGATGCATGCTCTTCTCTAGTTGTTTTGCTCTTAGTACTAATTTCTCTCTGTAAATTGAGAATGTATTTTAAGCCTAGAGATAAAGGCAAGTTTAAAAATTAGTAGATTGTTTGCAAGCTTTTTTCTCCATTAAAGAAATTTGGTAAATCTATTTTAAATTAGTAAGCTATTTTATTCTTCACATATCCATGGTCTTAATGAAGTTGAAAATGCAGTAGATTTTGGTCTACTTTTCAATACTTTTCAATTGATAACATAGAACAAAGTGTACCTAAATCAATTTCATATATTTAATTTTTCCAGTTTGATCTAATAGTCTAATAAGAAATATGATTCTGTGCTTCTAATAAGATAATGTTTACTTAGTACAGTCAACAGTAGTAAATATTTTGTTGCTAATTCACACTTATTGTTGATATGTTACAGTTCTTAGCTTGATATGATTTCAGAACAATTATGACAGTAAAGGAACCCTCTGAAATTCCCACAGCAGTCTTTTGGTTTTAACAAACTTTATTTACACAGGGTGCTAGGTAAATGGGAATATGAGCCAAACGGACGAACGAACAAATCGGAATTTATAAAATTTATTTTGTATGAAAATTTAAAAAATTAAAATGAAGATATCAATTTTCTGACTTCACCATACCATTTATATGCCCATGTTAACATGGGCTAGTGTCGGCTCATATACCCATTTAGCTAACACCCTGTATAGGTCACAAACTCACTTGCGTCCCTCGTACAGTAATATCGCGCTGCGCCACTGCCGGCAGGTGGACATCGCCGCCATGGCATCCTCCAGGCTGAGGTGCTCCAGGATGCACCTCAGCGGAAGAAGCGGCAAGGTGTCCCACTCCGGAGACATCTGGTCGTGGGAAATGGAGAAAATCTTTGAATTGGCTGTTTCGATTGTTATTCATTTTATAATCGGGTTGTGGACTAAACAACTTGTGTGAAAAACCACTTTATGGCCGTGAAAACTAATAATTTTCAATATGTAAATATTGAAAATTATTAGTTAATTAGAATCAGTATGCTTTAACCTCGTAAGACCGAAGAGTAAATTGTGTCGACTTCTAAGTATCGGCGAATGTGCTTTCAGAAGAACGAATAATTTGAAGTAGTAAACGCCGAGCACTTCGAGTAAAAAAATTTCTATGTTAGAGATTTTCTTTTGCATTCATATTTTCAGGGGCCCTATACAGGGTGTTGATTTCAATACTCGCCATATTTATTTAGGTGATCTATTATGACTTACATAAACGCATTATCCACCAAAAAATAAATTACAAACGAAAGTGGAATTTTTAGCGAATATTTTCCGTGCAACATCAACTGTACTATGGCTCGCAATAATGCAATACGTTTACATTGTGGCACGGGCACCCATCGAGCTACGCGGATCGCTCGCTTATCATGTTGGATAGTCTACTGAAGGATACGTAAAGAAGGTAGTGTAAATAGGTATTTTTCTGTGACTAACTAAAGTTAAAGTTCGTTTTAAATTAGTTTGCTGTTTCCTATGTGTGTGTGTGAGTGTATTGGAGCGCTTTCCGCCACTACCTACCGCGACGGCGGGAGTATTTTCTACACAAAATTACCAGATTATTCACTTCCTACATTAAAAAGGAATGTCCTTTAAGTTTAGAGCTAGGTACTTACCGATGCGACTTCAGATGCGTTTCCACGTGCCCTCCCGTAACAGTAAACCATGTTTACGTATCTAATTTTAAAAGTCCAATACTCAATCCCATCTCAATAGAAAAAATATACAAAAATAAAACTTTCACCATCAAGACCGAATGTTCCTTGCAAAGAACTTTTATTTTTAAACTAAAAAAAATCTTACAAAACTACTTCAAATTGGGAAAAATAATTTTTTTGCTTGTTTAGCAGTATTTTAACTTAAATTATACTGGTCAGTTTTGCAATTAAACTACGTTTACGTGAAGAAAAAAAATTAATCGCACATCATGTCTTCTTGGACGAACCACCTTGTCAAAGAAAAATGATAATTTGACAGTGACATTTTGTTTTTTTTATATTAATAAGTTCGGATACCTGATTTTGAATACTTTAAGCCATAGACTATCACTCTTTTCTTTCGATAGGCGCGAATTTTTGAACTTAAATTTATCGCTAAAGTTTTAGTTCCTCTGATGGCACATCCGGCGATACTTCGAAGTCACCTCCGAAAATGTCTCGGCGTTACTGACTACAAAGTTTTTCTGAGGCACATCCGGGCTTACGAGGTTAAGCAATAAGAAAGGATGAAAATTATCTGTACAAATATTTGATGATGCAAGTAAAAACAATTACAAGTTTTAAGAAAAGTATTTAATGACTGAAACTATCAATGAATAGCCAATAAAATGGAATAATTATTTTATTACCACTTAGAAAACTTGATTTAATACAAGTGTTCTTACTTTTATAAATATTTATTTAAGTAAAAACTACTTCTGTTTATGATTAATGATATGATTCATAAAAAATTGACTACTCAGTTGTTATGACCAAACACTGTTTGTTCCATATACTCATCATGCTACATAAGTAGATAGACTAATCTCATCTTGTCCCTGAATACCTAGGACTCAAAATACCCTTCATAAAGGTTAAATAGGCTAGACACAAGCAAGGTCAATGCAACATTATGAAATCAATAAAATCCATACCCCAATTTCTAACTCTCTCCTAGTTAAAACAAAACACTGCCTTACATTAAAATTTGGAACATCTTCAAAGAAAATCAGTCAAGGCTGTGTATAATTACCTACAATAAGTTTTTAGCTGATAAGACCCTCAAAAACAAAACTCAGCTGTTGGCAAAAGGTGTGACGAAATAACAGCTGTTATCGCGAGAAAGTGGGTTACCAGAAAAACATCATCAATAACGCGTAGTTTACAGGAACAGCTCACAAAACACTACAAGATAAACAACAAGCCTCAAATAAAATTACAACGTGTACAATTTTACATAAACTGCGACGATTTACGAGTACAAAGAAAGGTCAAAATATAATATATCCACATACCTTGTTTGTTGAATCGTTAGTGAACCAGATTTATTAAACTCGAAAGATAACACTGCAGTTTAAAAAACACTTATTCAATCACAAGGAGAAAGTCTGGCTGTAATTTATTAAAGTTCCATCGTCACTCGCACATCGCACACAGTTGTGTTGTCTTGTATCGCGCAAAATATGAAAACGATTTTCTATCTGAATTTCTGTAGAAATTCCCGACCGAAGTGCTTAATGTATTCGGATATTTTTCATGATGCAATGTCAATTAATTTACGTTTGAACTTTAAAATAAATGCATTGCGAAAACGAGAAAGTAATTATAGAATTCAAATTAATTCTTAATTTTGCCTACAAAAGAAATGCGCCGTCCAGTGAAATCATTCGATATATTTTATCTAGCTCTAACCTATGCCAAAAAATGCTAAATATATTTTGTAAATGTATCCAAACACACCTTATGTCAAAAAGTTTCGATGTCAAATTATAAGGCTGTGTTCCGACTGAAGATACGTTTTTTTGTATGCATGCAGGCAGTTTAGTTCAGATAATGGAGACGCTTGATTGATACGCCTTTAGTCTCCATGCCATGCCATATGTGAGCTGTGTGACCGTCGTTGTCAGTTTTTGTTGTCCTCAAGGACAATTAAACAGCCACCAATAACTTGATGATCGTTTAGTTGGCTTACGTAGATATTAAGATATAAATGGTTTCAAAATTATTTGAGACTAAATTTATGTTTAGACATCTTAATGCTATAAAAGCATTGATTGTACGTACACAGGTAATGTACAAAATAGACTACAAAGGAAAACATAAAGTGATACTGAACTGATATGGTTATGGTCATGGTCATTCTCTGATTTAACAGGACTATTCAGTTTACTTTTTTGACAGTTTACTGAGCTGTAAGTGTGTACTTGCCTTATAAACTTTTTGCAACAGGCCACACCATTACCAAAAATGGCGGCCAAAAATCAATTTTGAATTCTGACAGACGGAGTTGCAAAAAATTTGTCATGAATTAATAAATTATTTACCGCGTAAATAAAAGGCTCATTCCGCTGTTAATGCCTCTAACATACGCCGGTTCTAATACTTTATCGGTCTATTGTTCATTTAATGTCGTAGGAAGGTGATATCATACATTTTTGTGTTTCTATTGTAGTCGATGATGTAAGAAATTGAAGGTCTCGTAGGCTTTTGTGTATGTTGTAGTTGTGTATACTATCGTGAACTTAATAAGTAGTCATGGAGGGCGAGGACGGCGGACTGGGTGCTGCGGAGAAAGAGGAATGCGAGAGCAGCACTCATTCGACGCCGCAGGAACACAAGTCTTTTGCTGAGTTTGCAAAAGATAAGTTGGACAGTGGTAAGTTATTGCAGATTGTTTATTACATGTTGAATAATCTGTTTCATTGCATAAAATATTTACTAACAAAGTAAATCCTCTTTTATAAAATTATGTAGTTTGAATTCCTCACAGCTGTTTTTACAGACCACTATTTAGAACCCACATTTATTTGAAATATTTTGAACTAACTTATAATTAATTAGGTATGCGCACAATTAACTTTATTTATTTTAACAATCTTCCTTTACTAATTACATTTATGCACATGCATAATCACAGTAATTTATTCTAATTAGAATCTTCGTTACCTAAACATGTCTCCAAATCATTGAATAATGTTAGCTTTCTATCCACCAGCCGAGCGGGAGCTCCGTCGCCGCCTTACATTTATGCACAATCACAGTAATTTATTCTAATTAGAATCATCACCGGAGGTGCCTGGTTGCGAGCGGCGCAGGACCGGTCCTTGTGGAAATCCTTGGGGGAGGCCTTTCTCCAGCAGTGGACGTCTTTCAGCTGAAACGACTAAACAAACAAATCATCCTATTTACCAAAACATGTCTGAAAATCATTATTATCACAAAAGAATGATAATTTTGTATCCACCAGCAGGGCCAGCTGCCCATGGCGGGGCAGCTGGGCGCGTAATTTATTCTAATTAGAATCCTCCTATTTACCAAAATCATTTTTATCAAATAATGATAGCTTTGTTTCCACCAGCCGGGCTGGAGCTCCGCCGCCGCCTGCCCATGGCGGGGCATCTCGGCGCGTAATTTATTCTAAAGCCTGGTCCGTGAGCACGTAGAATCCCGTCCAATGACCCCAAGCTGCTCATCCTTGTCGCTTGCACGTAATTATGTTGCTGTCGCGCTCGCACACTCACTGCAGGCGCGCGTCGCACAGTCGCGACAGCAATATAATTACGCGCGAGCGATAAGGATGGGTAGCTTGGGGTCATTGGACGAGATTCTACGTGCTCACGGACCAGGCTTTAATTAGAATTTAATTTCCTATTTACCAAAATCATTATTATCAAATAATGATAGCTTTGTTTCCACCAGCCGGGCGGGAGCTTCGCCGCCGCCTGCCCATGGCGGGGCAGCTCGGGGCGCATCTGATGCACCCGCGGCGGCTCCTGCTGCACTCGACGCCCACACAACAGACCGATGTTGTGCTTATATTCCCTAAAGGTAAGTTGATTATGTTATAATCATTTCAACCACAGGACGTCCACTACTGCACTCCTCTAATATTGTTTCCATATTGCCCGATTGGTAGTGGCCTGCGTCCAGTGCCTTCCAGCTACCTTTATCAATAGTTAATTAATAATGTTCAGTATTATAAAAAAAAATGAAAATGAAATATTTTATTCAGCAACACAAAATTATACTGCTGATCAAATCCGATATAAGCATGGTTTGAAAGGAAATTAAGTTCTGTATCGTCACTCAAATGTTACTCAAACTCAAGTACTTAGATTTAAACATCATGATTGGTTGAATTTTAATATATGGACAAGTAAACAGCACGCTTTAATCTTTACTCAATTTTTAAATAGTTTTAAAAATAACTTCAGAAGAATATCACTGTAGATGCAGTGAAGAATATCACTACAATCAATGCAGATTTGTTTGAATTGTTGTCTTATAGTTTAGAAACAAGTTTTCAATTTAGTTTTTTTAGGAACAACTATTTCATTTTATTATTGGGTTCTCTGTAGGGATGTTTATTCTTAACATAACAAACATACAACAGACTGACATAATGCTATGTTTATCTCCTTATGTTAGAGTGATTTATTACATCATCAAAATGCTGGCAATTGTTCAGGAGTTGGGCTTCCACAATGAAACTGAATGTAGTATACTCACTCATTGTAATAAAGTTCATTTTGTTATTGCTCACTGAAACTGGAGAATAGTTTGAGCTTTAAGCAACCTTACTTGATTATTCGTCTTACTGCGACAATAACAGCGACATGATTCGAAAACTGTTGTTAATAATTTTTTTTTTTTTTTTTTATGAGTTCTGCAACTTGGCAATCTGTGTTAACACAATAAGCCATTCAGATGAGGTATCTTGATCTTGTCTTGACAGCAGAAGGAATTTCTATGAATCCCTTTCATCTGGTTTCCCCAAATCTCACTGCAAGTGTGAGGACACTATGCCGTTTCAATCTGGAGTGTGTGATACTTCCTGTGCCCACCAGTTTCGATGCCAGTTCATTGACGTGGGTTGATATTCTCGTCTGATAGCTTTCGCTGTATTTAGCGATCTCTTTTTTGACGGTGTCGAGCTTCAGGTCCTCGTGTATATATTTGTTGCTCACGTAGTAGGGTATGTCTAGCATGGCTCTCAATGTCTTGCTTTGAAATCTTTCGAGAATCTCTATGTTGCTATTGCTAGCAGAACCCCACAGCTGGATTCCGTAAGTCCAGATTGGCTTAAGGATGGTCTTGTAGATAGCTATTTTGCTTTCATGTGAGAGGTTCGATTTGCGGCCTATCAACCAGTACATTGATCTGACTTTCATATCCAGCTGTTTACGCTTGGTCCAGATATGCTTTCTCCAGGTGAGTCTTCTATCAAGATGCATACCCAAATATCTGGCATCTTCGGCCTGAGGAATTTCCTCGTTATAGAGTTTTATTGGGGGACAAGTCTGCCTTCTCAGGGTGAAGGTCACATGGACAGATTTTCCTTGATTGACCTTAATACGCCATTTATCCAGCCATTCCTCCACCTTATGGATGTGGGTTTGTATGTTGGCTGACGCCGTGCCGGGATCCTCGTGAACTGACAGAAGGGCTGTGTCATCTGCATAGGTGGCAGTTATGGTATCAGCATATGTAGGAAGGTCCGCGGTAAAAAGCAAGTACAGGACTGGTCCCAATATACTCCCTTGTGGTACTCCTGAGAGTATTTCATTTAGATGAGTAACTTCGCTATTGAATTTTACCTCAAAGCATCTACCGTACAGATATGACCGAAGAATCGGAAAGAATGAGTGAGGCAGCAGTTTTTTAAGTTTGAAGAGAAGTCCTTCGTGCCACACTCTGTCGAATGCCTGGCTGATGTCCAGGAAGACAGCAGAGCAGTATTGTTTGCATTCTAGCGCTCGACTTATAGTATCCGTAATACGGTGTACCTGCTCGATGGTTCCATGTTGCTCTCGGAATCCAAACTGGTGAGGAGGAATAACTTCCGGGAGATGAGGGCGCATCCTGTTTAGCAATATTTTTTCGAGGAGTTTACCCAACACAGGGAGCAGGCTTATGGGTCTGTAGGAGCTTGCTTCGTGGAGAGGTTTGCCTGGTTTGGGTATCATTATAACCTGCGCAATTTTCCACTGAGCGGGGTAGATTGCTAGTCTTAGACAGGCATTGAAGATGGCCGCGACGTGGATAATGCCCTTTCTGGGCAGCTGCTTAAGTAGTTGTGCGTCGATTGAGTCGTAGCCTGGCGTTTTACCCTTCTGTAGTCTCAGAATCTCCCGCCATAGTTCGTTAGGGCTTACACTTTTTAGTGGTAAGCTCATCTGCAGTGGTGCGTCTAGGTATTCAGAGACTTCTTTGTCGTGTCCAAGGTTTTTGCTTGGTAGGGGGATGAAGATAGTTTTTAGGTGCTCAGCGTACACTTGGGCCTTTTCAAGTTCTGTTTTTGCCCACTTGCCATCCGGCGCTTTTATGGGTGGTATGTGTTCTTTCGGTCGTTTAAGCCTTTTTGTTATCTTCCATAGCGAATAGTTAGTATCTTTGTTAGGAGTGAGTTCAGCCAGTTGCTTTTGTAGTCGCTCGTTTGCTGCCTGGGAGATCATGTGTTTGAGTTCCTCAGAGGCCTTGTTGAAAGCTTTTTTGTCACAGGGGTATTTTGTAGAATGCCATATTTTTCTTAGCAGTCTTCTTTCATTAACCTTATCTTTTATGAGTTTGGAGTAGCGGGCATTTTGTGTTGCTTTCGGACTTAGAAAGGGTGTAGACTCTTTGACAGCTAAGTGAATAAGCTTATTGAGAGTTTCGATAGCTGTTTCAACGCTATCTGTGTTGTTCAATGGCAAGTTCAATTTTATGGATTCTGATATTTTGGTTCTGTATTTGTCCCAGTCTGTTTTGTGGTTATACAGCCTTTGTATGTACTCAGTAGGAATGAACATGCAGTGAATATTTATAATTACTGGCGTGTGGTCGGACGACAGGTCAGTACATTCTTCCATGTTCATTTGTTGGAGCGGGATATTTTTGGTGATGAAAAAATCCAAGAGGTCTGGTACCTTTTGTGGGTCCGCAGGCCAGTATGTAGGAACACCATGCGAAGCACAATGAAGGTTAAGGTCATTCGTAGCTACATATAGTTGTCGACCTCGTGTCGTGGTTAGCCTGGAGCCCCAGAAAACGTGTTTAGCATTCCAGTCTCCACCGCAAATAAATCTGTTTCCCAGTGTGTTAAAGTAAGTCTTGAATTCATCACTTGTGATGGTATGCCTAGGGGGACAGTAAATAGCAGACACTGTTATTTCCGTCTTGTTATCTTGGATCCTGATCGTAGTTGCCTGTATCTTCTCAGTTTTATGTTCCCCAAAATCATAATGTTTGATGTTTTCCCTTATTATTATCGCTGTTCCTCCGTGTGAATTACCAGACGGGTGGTTTGTAGTGTACACCATGTAGTTTTTAAGTTGGAAGTGGGTTTTTGGTGTAAACCTTGTTTCGGAGATCAAAGCCACGTCAACTCTTTCGAGTTTCAAGAAAAGTTCAAGCTCCTGTCGACGTTCTGTCAGTCCGTTGGCATTCCAGGTGATTATTCGAAGATTTAGGGGAGCTTTATAAGGCTTGTGATTAATTGGATCATACGATCCATCATGTTGTCTAACATAACGTTTATTATGTTTTGGAATTTGTTGAACATGGCGTCTAGTACTTCCCCGAAATTATTTGGGTCCTTGATGTCTGTTGTCGATCCTGTTATGTTCTTTTGTTTTGTCGCTTGTGCGTATGTAATATTTGGTTTCGAATGGTTGTAGTTCTTGGTTTGCGGATTTGCATGTGCGGTTTGTGTTGGATTCTTGTGATAATGATCTTTTGCTGTGTTATTTGTGTTTTCATTGGTTTCTTTACCTTTTCCTGTCTTGTTTTTCGTGAGTAGTTCTTTGTACTGCTTGTATTTTGTGCAACCCTTGTAGCTAGCTGGGTGCTTTTCTTGGCAGTTGGCACAAGTTGCCTCGGTGTCCGGTCTTTTTAAACAGCTTGCTGTTGGGTGTTCTTCCCCACATTTAACACATCTAAATGGTCTGTTGCATTGATTTTTTGCATGTCCAAATCTTTGACATCTTTTACACTGCAAAATGTCCAGCTTTTTGTATGGCGCTTCGAATGAAACTTTTACGTAGTTCACTTTGTTGATTTTGAAGATGTCTTTGTTGTTATGTTTCGGCTCAAGATCTACATAGAATAGGGGTAGAGGCTGTTTTGAGCTTTTATGTCTTACATTTGTGATGTGCCGGACTTCATGTCCGAGTTCCAGAAGCTCTTTTTTTATGCATTCTGTGTCTTCTGAAGAGTGTAAGCCCCGTAACACCACTCTATAGGCTCTCTCGCTTTTGAGTTTGTATGTATAATGGCTAACATTATTCTCCATAAAGTTAGCTCGTATGTTTTTGTACGTGTCTATGTCACCAGGCATTATTTTAACTATGTGTCCTGACCTCAGAGTTGTCATAGTATATTTGTCGGTGTTTTCAATTGTGGAGAGGAGTTCTTTTAATTTCGTTATGTCTATGACTCCAGTAACAAATATAGGTTCTGGCTTTGGCGGTTTAGGCTCCTTAGGTTGTTGACTGGGTTCGTCAGTACTTTCTGACTCCAAGATTTGAAATCTGTTTTCCGTGGTTACTGCATATGTTGTCTTGTTTAGTTTGCTATTTTTCTTTGCCCATTCAGGGCTGGATTCCGCTTTCCTTTTCATAGGGACCTGATCATTTTGCCAGGGTTGATTTTGTTTTTTACCTTGTTCATCGTTCCTCTCAGATGTGTTTGATCTCTCATTCACCTCATCGTTTGAACTTGTTATTTTTGTTGTTTCAGTCGGTAGATTTCCAAGTGAGTGACTCCTTGCACGAACAAACATGCTTTTCTGGAGTAATTGTTGTGTCATCTTTGGTTTGTTTTGGTTTTCTTTATCATTATTCATCTTGTTCCCACGAGTAGGGTCGATATAAAAGGTCACTTGAAGGGTGACGCCCATTCCTCCAAGAAGGCGATCTCCAACGACGTTTGCCATGTCCGCCGAGGTTGGCGCTCGATACTGATCTCCCACCAGTCATGCATTCCGTTGGCACGTGTCCCACCGTGGAATTGGGGTGATTATTTTATAGAGGTGTTCTTCCTCTCAGCCCGGGCAATTAAGCCTAGACTTCCAATCGCTGAATTGCGGTTGCGGGCGTGAGTAATCATTTCCTAATACCCACTGTTAACTGGCTGGTTAGGCCAGTATTGTCGGGTTAGTTGACCGCCGCCCGAGACTCGGCGTTGAGGTTCGTTTAGCACCACCCGGGGGGCACGTGTAGGGTTTTCTTCAGGTAATCTTCCTACGGACGCGAACCACTTCACCCACCAGATCTTAAGTAAAAAATAAAATGTGGTATTGATTTTTTGGACTAAAACATGTAACTTTGTAGTTTTTCACGCATAAGAAATGTTGCTTAATCCATATCTATTGTGATGTTATTATTAAAATTTGCTCTTTTAATTAACTTTGTAGGTAC